TGTGCTCAAGTAATGTATACATTTTAGGATGTTTCCTATGTAAAAAGATGTGGTTGACCCAGCATAGATATTCTGGTAACCCATCAAACCACATCTTAAATCCAATGCATTGTTTTCCGAACAGTGCCTTCTAGTCATAGTCCTTAACAGCTTTCAAGATGCTTGGCAGTGCTCACACCTGAACTGTACTATTTTGATACAAGACTCTGATTGCAAATTCCAAGCATTTGTCCTCTTGCAAAAAGCAGCTATAAGTGCCCTTCACATCCAATCTTTTTTTTTTTTTTCTCCAAGGCTGCTTTCAACTCTACTAACATTACATTTCCAAATGAAGTAGTAGTGGATACAGTCCCACAGCTCTGAACTTACTACAGAGCCTACTCAACACAGAAATGATACATGTGGCTGAAACTACAGTTAGCTGCTCGGATGTTACTCCGCTCAACTCCCACAACAAATACTAAAGCAGTGCTAGCAGCTTACACATACAGAGATCAAGCTTGAGCTATTCCCCACCAGGATAAGCTCTTCTCCAATTGTACCCAGTCCTGAAGAACTCCGAGGAAAGCCATTTTGAGCACCACATATTCCCACACAACATATCTACATGCCACGGTAGAGTGCAACACTACTGGAGCTAACTTATTCAGTTGAATTATTTCTACTGCCTCAGGTACGAGTTAGCTTATTAGTGATCTGCTCTGACTAGGTAAAGATTACCCTTTTTGCATTACTTTACCTATTGAGCATTAGACATTCTAGATAAACAGAAACACTGACATAGGGAGCAGAATAATCAAGAGGCAAGGCCAGAAATACAGAAAGAAAAAAAAAGAAGAGGAGATGCAAGTAAGAACTGCAAATTAATGTATTGTGGACACATTTGAAAAAAGGCTGTAAGCCCTCTGAGCCAGTTGGCAAGCACTGATTAATGCTATTTTTACTGACAAATGTGGATGGCAACTACTTTATCTTCCCACTTATCTGCAAACCAGCTTCTGCATGGCTGACTTCACGAAGACTCATTCCTTCTTTAGGAACGAGTCTTACAAAGCTTTGCATTTGTAATACCCATGCTTTCATAGCTACTGTTGTTCTGAACATATTACTCCTCAGTGCAGTGCAGGACTTCCAAAACACTGTGTATGCAGTTCACTCTTAGATATTAAAATGCAATCTTCTGGAATCTAACAATAACTCAATTTCTATTTCAAACTAACCCCCTTTTTATTCACAATTACTACATTACTGTGGTGGGTTGACCTTGGCTGGCTGCCACATGCCCACCAACCTGCTCTATCACTCTCCTCCTTAGCAGGATGGGGGAGGGAGGTGGGGAGAGTGGGGAAAAAAAAAAAATAAAAAAAAAAAAAAAAAAAAAATACTCATGGGTCAAGACAAAGGCAGTTTAATAAAGCAAAAGCAAAGGCTGCACATGGAAGCAAAGGAAAACAAAAGATATATTCTTTACTTCCCCATTAGCAGGCAATGTCCAGCCACTTCCCGGGAAGCAGGGCTTCAATACACATAGCGGTTGCTCCAGAAGACAAATGTCTTAACAGTGAATGTCCCCCCCCTCTTCCTCCTTTCCCTTAGCTATTATTGCTGAGGACATGTCATATGGTATATATTATCTCTTTGGTCAGTTGGGGTCAGCTGTCCTGGCTGTGTCCCCTCCTAAGATCTTGGTCAGCCTAGTGATGAGGGGGAATGCTGGACAGACAGCAATGATGCTGTGGAGCACTGCTCAGCAGCAGTCAAAACACTGGTGTGTTACCACCACCAATAAGAAGCTCAGTACTGTGAGGGCTGCTATGGGGAAAATTAACTCCATCTCAGTCACACCCAATACAGTTACTTAATAAGCAACTACTACTCGTTTTTGGAGACTTCAATCTTAGACTTAAGTAATATTTTTTTTACTCTTAAAAACTTGTGTTGCTTTGCACCAGAAGATGCACCACTGTATCTGCATGGCAGCTACATTTCAGTGATTGTCAGATCTACATAAAAGCTAATCTGATAGACCTCAGAAGAATTTCATGGTCTTCTGGAACTCTGTCCATAGAGTATTAATTGCAAAGTATAAAGAATGACAACTTATGTTAGTCTATTCCTTATTTTGCACTCATTAGGAGGAAAACAAGGGAAAAGAGTTTTAGAATTATACTGCACACATTAATAAAGCTTTTCTGGTCTCACCACTTCCCCAAGTTAAACAAGCACAAGCACTTGGAAAGATGACTACAGTTATTTAAAAGGAATTTTCCAAGAGTCAAATTTATATCTCCTGAACCTAGCATAATACTGAAATTAGCAAGATGGTTGAAGTACACCACAGAAAGATAGTCTCAGAATAAGTGCCTAAACTAGTTTTGATAGACACAATAACACCACAGAGAAAGATGGAATGTTATACAACGGAATAGCTTAGGAACATTATTTCAGCATTTCTAAATATTTCTGTGATGTTACTCGTTTTTATTTGTTTTTGAAGTATTATCTACTCAATAACGAGGCATTCTATTTTCTAGTTTAGGTAGTACATCGTTAAGTGGAAGCAATGCAGTTTTAGGTACAAATTTCTTTACAAAGCTACAAGCAATATGATTTTTTATTTCATAAAGCCCCTTAATTAATTTCAGTAAGTAATTTTGAATCTAAAATTTAGTTCAAAAGTTTAGTTTGACCTGTTCTTGCTGTTCAAGAAGAAATCTAAAGTTGATCACCTTATTCTTAAGATAGCTGAAAAATTGTTTTGGTTTCACCCAACATACCAATCTAGACTAGCTTTCCAAAACAACAAGTCCCTGGCCAACTCACTGCTAGGTTATTAAAAACAGCAGCAAAGTTGTTATGGAGTACTGTACAGGCATGCAAAAGCAAAAGAATTACTTTTGTTGTATCAGCATTTGGTCATAAAAGGTAGCTCACTTGTCTTAATGTAAGCTTCAACGAATATCTGAGGAAGCACTCTTGCATTAGGACTAAGAAATTATAAATAGTTTTATTGTTGAGCAATGCCTGAAGATAATAAAGCCTCACTTGAAATTTTAAAGGGCAAGACAATACAGATTGTTAGATTTACATCAGCACAAACAGTGCCGCAAAAAAAAAGTTATAAATGCAAGAACAACAATGCAGAAGCTATTAATTCTACATTTAGGCTTACCAGGTGAGGTTTCCCAATAAATTTTCTGAAAGGTGGCTTAATGAACCTCATAGGCTTTTGGAAGCCATCAAGTTGAGAGTTGTGTAATTTTGAAAGACTGCAGCTTTCGTGATTCCTGATGTGTATGTGAGAGAGGGAGAGAGAAAAAGAAAACAATTAAAATCAAAAGCCATAGTGTATCAAACTCCTGCATTTTAAACAGGCCTGCATGGCTGGTCATTGCTGCCCTCCGCTGGTTGAAATGCTTTTTGCATTTCAACAATTTTACATTGTTTATATAGTTATATATTGTTATCTTTACAGTTTTTATACTGTTATCTTTAAAGTTGCACATAAACTTTCCTTTTCAGGAAATTCCAAATGCAATAGAAGCTCAGATAAATAGCTACATGCTCCATTTTCATCCTCAGCAAGCAGGGTGTTCTTGGCTCTAGGCTTTTGCTTGCTTGGTTTTTATTCTTTACCTAAGCACACTGCTACCACAGATGCGTCTGTAAACATCTAAAAAACCCATATACCATGAAAAGTAACCACCAGCAGTCAAAAAAATCAGAGCTCATGAGACATACAGAAACAGGTTCCATAGCTGTAAAATAAGTTTCTGAAGTAGAAAGAGGCACACTGGACTAGTTCATAAGTATTGCCAGTATCTCATATGGGAACTATTAAAAACCCCAATCTCAGGAAAATTCTACTCATTGTTTGTACCATTACTGCCCTCAGGCCACATTACATTATCCACGTTACTCTGATAGTATGAGCCCTCCTCACATTGAGCTCCAGGACAGCCACACTTACTAGAGAAACTTGCACTTCCCGCTTTGAGTGGCATACACAAAAGGTAAGCAAGACAGGAACTGTGGAAGCAGCAAAAACAACAACAACCAACCAACCCTTTCCACATAATCAGGCCAAACATGCACTAAAGCCATAGCCCCAGGTACATAAAAGGCTGTATGCAAAAGTCCAATATTCTCACCCCCAGGCACACCTGGGAACTTACACTTTTTTTTTGGTTTAAGAGAATCACAAGTACAAGAACTGTTTCTTCTGCAGCTTCACGAGTCAGTTTTCCCAAATATATGTGCATTGCCACTATCTGCCTTTACAGACTGCATTTAAAATTAACAACAGCAGCATATTAAGAGCAATCTGCAACTCATGACTAACAGTGTAGATACATTTTGTTACACTCCGGCAATTCTTTAATCAACATTTCTTCTAAGACAGGTCAAGTCATCTCTCTAATCAACCAGCCTCACAGCATCAAAAGTGAAACAGGATGACTAAGGTTAGCAAACACCTCTGGGGTAAACACCTTTAACAAAACTGTTGGAGGAATTTATAGAAGTCTATTTCAGAAATCTAGCTGTTCTTCATAGAATTCTCCAAAAATCAGAAGAAAACCCAATTCTTTGTTGATATTCTACATGACATTACAACACAACCAAGACAACTCAACAACGTATTGATCCTAGAATGCTTTTATGAAACTACAAAATACCAAGAGAATGGTGTTACACGGTACATCAAGGAGTGTAAAAAGAATTAAATTATCTTTAAAATAATTTCTTTCCCTCTTCCCACTCAGTGCTACAGTCTGAGCTTGCTTTCCATTTTTTCCCCCTCTGAGCTTAACCTCTTTCAAGGTAACACTCCACTACAGAGTAGTTTGCAATGTATGTCAGTTGACTTTCAGTCAGAGTTAAACTTAACCACGACAAACTATGGAAATGAGTCACAACAAACACGAACGTAACTTTGGCAGGGTCAGAAAACAAACGTGTAAGAGAACTAGAGGCTTGGCCCAAGATGACTTATTTGCCAATTACCTTGGAGTTACACCATCTAAATGAAACACTCTCTCATCTTCATTCTTCAGCCTCTCTTTTCTTCTCCTTTCTATATCATGCCGTAGATCATTTGGATCTTCTAACACTCTTATAATGTTCTAATTAAGAGGAAAGGTTAAAGTGAAGTTAGCTAGTAGTAACTGAACACTGACGTGATTCTGTCCTTCGGGGGCGGCATCCTGCGTATAACCTTGTTAATATAGTTCAACTGTTACACAGGATGGATTCACATCAGCCCAAAGTCCAAAACAGTAACAAAAAGTAGTCCTAAACAATTATCCTTTCTTGCACCATCTGCTTTTTTACAAGTTTCCAAACAACAGTGAACAGAGCACTGGAATTCTGCATGGAGTTGCCAAGGGAAAAATACTGACATGAACTCCAGTAAATCTTAAAAAATTCTGTTATTCTTAATTAAATTTAATCTCCACATGCCTGTACTCTGGAATAACAAAAAAAAGTAACTATCACAGTAAGCACAGCTTGGAAGGGGAAGACAGAAAATTTTATGTCCCTGGATGAAAGCATGGAATAAAATAGCATTCTGAGGAATTATGTGGATGTCAGGCCATTCTAACATTAGGGTACAAGAAACATCAAGACTTTTCCTAATCCCAGAGGTAAAGTAAAAGCCACATGTCAGTCACCTACTTAGTATCTACATTATTTAAAAGA